AACAGAGTCCTGGGCAACTAGATGGCTGTCTTCTTATTTTAAGGATAGGAAACAGCATACTGTTTTGGCTGGAAAGCGCTCCACTTCTCAGCTAACTGAAAGTGGTGTGCCTCAAGGTGCAGTACTTTCTCCATTTCTCTTCTCTTTCTTTTTGCATGACCTTCCGAACTCACCCAAAGTTAACTTCATTAAGTATGCTGATGATTTGACCGTTTCTGTCCCTGTAGTTTCCACATCGGATTGTTCCCATATGAATGGCTTCTTAGCTGAAGTTAAGGATTGGTCTGGCTCAAATGGTCTTAAACTAAATCCAACTAAATGCAATACTGTTGGTTTCAGCTTGAGAAGTGAAAAAGACATGCATAGATTGATCCAATCTCATGATTGTTGTAATATTGATGGTACCATGATAGAGAGCAAGTCAAGTGTTTCTTATCTTGGCATTAGTTTCTCTTCAAACCTTTGCTGGTCGTCTCATATTCTTATAGTTTCTAAGAAATTTTTCCGTCTGACTTATTGCATAAAGAAGTTGAGGCACTCAGGTATAACCCAACCTCTTCTCATACAATTTATTAATTCATGTGTTTTGCCCATCATTCTTTATTGTTCTCCATTATTCTTCCCTGGGCTACTCAAGAAAGACCATATAATACTACGAAAAACATAAAAGACAGATTCAGCGAAGAAATTTTTCTTTATCGACGAAATCATCTTCAGAGGCTGTACAGTCGTATTTACACTTACAAAAATATATAGTGGTCTATTATTGAGTAATAGGGGGTGACATAATTGCATGGAGGATTTCATCATGAGCTGACATCAGTTAGAGAACCACTGGAAGACCTGGGAGTACTGGACAGCTGTTTCGTCCTAGTTTGGGACGCTTCAGCAGTACGCATCCACCGGGATTCAAACCCAGGACCTTCTGGTTACAAGGCGAGCTCGTAGACCATTGAGCCACTGGGACCCGATCCATAATTGATATAATTACTCAGAAGTGGCTTTAGAAGTGAAAATTAAATGTTGTAAATTACGTGGTACTCAACGGCACAAAGATGGAAATTTGATAAGGTTAAAATTGCTATTGAGTGAGAATAAAGGTATTTGAGTGTCAATTTAACAAGTGTGAAGAGGGTGTGAAAATATACAAAAGGAGCATATGAGAGTGATAATAGTGAATTAATTATTAAAGCAAAAGCAAACTAAAAGTGAAATTAGAATGAAAAGAAAAAATCAAAATATATTTTATTTACAAGGAACGATTAGTGAAGAGGTTAAGACCAAGGTAGAATAAGAGACTGGACAATCTTCTTCTGTGTACAGAGTTCAGGGTTGTATTGATGAATTGCCAGAGCCTCCGCCATACACAAAAGCCGAAACCTGACGCCCTTTGTACCATTTGGCTTCACTTTGTAGATGATCTTGAAAGACGATTCTGGTGGAGCTACGTGGCCTGAGTTCACCAAATGCTCGAGAATTGAGCTAGTAATTGTCTTACATTGTCCCTTTGCTAACCATGCCGGATAATGTTCAGAGATGCGTTTGGAGAGCGTGCACTTTGTGCGGCCAATATAACTCCACACGAGCGAGTGAATTTATAAACACACATTGAGGTGGCCCAAAGCAGCAGTTTATCCTTCACACATCCGTTGATCATTTGTCGGCTGTAGAAGTTGATACGTAGCTCAGCCATAAAGAAGGCTTTCCTCAGTGATCTGCATAAGCGGTTCTTCAGGATCTCAGCTGCGGCATCACCTTTAAATTCAACACTCATAAACAGCAGTTTCTTCGGCACCGTCTGTATTCTTTCAGGTTTTTCCCTTGGCTTCATGTTTTTCTCGATAAATCTTGGAGGATTCCATTCTCTATGAGGACTTGTCTGAGTCGCTCCAGTTCCCCAACGATTGTATCACTTGAAAATATCCTCCTTATTCTTGAGGATAAGGAATGGATCAGATTTCTCTTTCTTCTCAAAGGGACCCAGCTATGGAAATTTGTGTACTGACCATTCCATGTTGGTTTCCTGTAGATCGATCTTTGAAGAGAACCATCAGTTCTCCTCTTTAGAAAAACATCCAAAAAATGGAATTCCGAGTTAATCTCTGATTCCGACGAAGAACATTGAAGGCTGTAAGTAGGGTCAGTGCTATCCCTTTGACTCAATTAACTGACACTGTTGCCAATAAAGCAAAAATTATTATTATTATTAATAGGCATATGAATTCTTGTAAACACTTAGCTAAAGTTATCATGTCTGATAGTGAACATCCTCTTTATTCACAATTGTTTCCTTGTATCTCTTCGGGTAAGACCAGGAAAAATTTCATAAACATTTATGCTCGTACTACAAAATATAAAAATTCGACCGTAACATATTTGGCACGAGTATTGTGTGAAGAGACAAATATCAGAAAAGAACTTTTACAACTTTTAAATCATTAACTAAACTATAAAATGTAATGATGCATATTAATGCATGTGTTATTTGTTATATTATTTATTTATTATTCACTATGACCCAGCAATGGTGTGATTTTGTTGGGGTTTCATTTTTTCCTATTAACTATCAATATTTTAACATTTTATACATTTATATAATTATAAACAGAGCTAAACCATTGCAATATGTAAAAGAAACGCTGAAAATTCCATGCTGTAAATTGTTACTGTTGTGGAATACAGTGAATATTATTATTATTGGTCATCTAGAGAAATAGCTCTCATAAAGGCTATTTGGACGTTTTCAGATACATATATATATATAATATTTACAACTAGGTTATTTTGATATACATTGTGCTGAATACTTGACTGTTTGTCATGTGTTTTACGCCTTAAGTTTATCTCTTTGTTTGTACAGACAATGCTCTGTTATTCTGTGCGCAATAGTAATTAACTCCTTTTTCAATCTAAAACGTCTGATTTAGTTAGCTAAAGCTGTCAACAGATCCAAGTGACCCTGGATGATATTTGCGCTAAAATACATTGAAGTAAATACCAATAATCAATATAACAGCATCACAAAGACGGGTAGAATTATTTTTAGGTGGGAAAATAAGACGTCATGCTTACAATGTCTGAAAGTCAGGAACACCGCTGTGGTTAAATGCGCCATTCTAGATCATCTCTGTTGCTGTCATAACACAGGCGTTAAGTCCCAGTTTACAAGTCTTTGGTACGTAGGCTTTCTCTCAATATCTACGTAACTTCGTTCGCCTCAGTTTAAGATTCCCATCTACCCATGGTGTTTACCACTACTGTCTCTGAAAGACTACTGACGTCCGGTAACGGATTTTCTTGGATATTCTCAAAGTTCGATGAATCGTAATTGAAGAAGGTGGAGGTCTTTAGTCAATAACGAAAGTCATTTCAGAACATGGACTAAGGTACATGTACGTATGTCATCGCGGTAGCTGATCGTAAGAAGAATGGTGGTCGTCCATTGAAGAGCTGTTGATGTATATAGTTCAGAATAAAAACCATGTATTATCATGTTGCAGTTTCCGCGTTTCTTCAACTGACATCAGTAGAACTAGATGATGAAATCTCCCTTAAATAAGCTGATACAATTTTAATCATTGAACGATTTCACGTAATTCTGGATTTGTAGAATGTAGCAAGACTCGCCTAGGGGCTTTTATGCTCTGCAGTCCAATAGTAAACGTTTACGTTTCTGTCTTTTCCAGGTTACCTAAGTTTCTGAATGCTATGGTGCTGTTTGGCTTTAGTTGAAGTTCCATGTCAGCCGATGTAGTTAAGGGGGACGTAAGGTTGTGGTGGTTAAAAGATGGTGACATCTATTCAATCGCTGTATGTCTTCTCAGTAACACTAGCCCTATTATCATTAATTAAGGTATCAGTTATTCTCTCACAATAAAATCCTCTGTATCTTTGAATATTGCTTGACATATGCAATAAAATTCCAAAGTAATTATGACATCTGAATAAAGCAAGAACAACAGTTTTGCAGAATAAAGTGGATCCATCATTTATTTCGTTGCCTTCTCATCAGCCGCATACAGGCCTGTAATTATGACAGCATGGTTTCAAGAAAATATTGGGACTGTCTCCATACATACAAAACAACATCTCACTAAACATAAGCCATAGATTTCACAATAATTTCTAACATTAAATTTTCTTGAAGCGACTTGACAAATCCCTTAACAATATTTGTCGTCAAAAGTGCTTGAGCCACCAAGGCCCAGCGATTTGTATAGGCTGTGACCTACGGGAATCTGCAGTGTGTTCTCCTGACACGCATAATTAAACGAACTGGTTCCCTTTTAATTCCTAAAAGTGACATTCATTTCATTTTACTTAATACATCAAACGAATGTGACAAGTCTCAGTAGTCAGATCTTTTGGAATTCTGATGACAGTATTTATATACCGTACAGCCAAAAAACTTGCCATCTTTTCACGCTGTTCGCTTTCAGTAGCCATTTCTAATAACTTTAAAAAAGGTAGAACCAAGCAGACTACTTCTCAATACGTAATGTGTATCATATCATTTTGATATGTAGTCACTCTACCACAGTGCCCTAAATTTTCTTCCTATGTTAATCTAGCCGAAACAGTTGAAGTGATCGAAGGTTCCAACCAATTTCACTGCTTATCCTTTAACTAGCAAACCAATAATGCATTATTATTTTGTGTTTGACAGGCAAAATACATGCTGAGATAATTTCTCACAGTGTTCAGGAAAACTGTATTCACCTCATTATATCAGGAAAAGCAAGTACTAATCTTCAAGAATAACAAAGGAGTCACTGGGTCACGTGCTGGTTGAGTTTTATTTCATTTCTGTCCTGTTACATTAGTGGTCATCATTTTCTCAATCAGTTAATGTGTTATAGGTATTCCTTGATGTAAATTTGTGGTCTATTTAAGCTGTTTAGTCTCCTATAATCTATTTACTTCATACTTTAATTACACTTCTTGATAAACAATAGTGAATCACTCTTCTTTTTGACTTTTGCTGCTTTTTTCATATTTAGTAAATTACAATGACAACTCCTACACTAATACTTGATATGGGTGGTGGATCTTTAAAAATTGGATTTTCCACAGATTCTGAACCAAAGTAGGTCAGTATGTTTTGTATGGTATTCAAACTGCTTTTCTCCTTCTCTCAAAAGAGTAGTGGACAATTGTATTTTCAAGTCAAAAACACTCTCTGGTCGTACATTCATTGGAAATGAAATTGAACAGTGCAATAATTTATCAAGTTTATTTTGTGTTATGCCATTTAAAAAAGTGAGTAATATATGCCTAAAACACAGGTGAAAAAAACAGCTTTTGTTTAGAAAACCTCAGTTTGAGAGGAGTTTTTCATTTATCTTCGTTTAATTATTCCTTTTCAGGATACTTAAATTCACTTGTATATGTAAAACTGGTAATACATTAAGTATTTTCTGGATAAAATGTAGCTCTAGACCATATACAATTCAGTTCCTCAAATTTCGGGCTGTATCACTCAGCTTTTAGGTAAAATACTGAAAACTGTTCGCCTCGTTATTATCATTAGTATTATTGACTGCCACTATCTTTAAACCTTCAATGTTTGCTCCTACGTTCTGTCTCCCATGGTAGATGGTTATTATGGGGTGAGTAATATTGAAGCTAGGAGTTGAATGTTAGGTAAAGAGGGAATATCAATCGATGAGGTTGTGAGGCTACATTGATTGAGAGAGTTAGAACATGTGTTACTCATACCTAGCCATCGTATTCCTTGACAACGGGTAGTGTTAGCTGACAGGATCAGGTTCAAAAGGAGTGTATTTGTGGCCAAACCAAAACTTGGAGTTGATCCATGAAATCTACAACAGTTAGTTTGAGCTACATAAGGAGTTGTAGGCTTCCTGGTTAGTGTCGTCGGGAATCTAAGAATCAATGGCTGTAGACAATTAGTGATATGGCTCAAAATCTTCATTTTCAATGGCTCAGATGCATTCACTCTATGATTTCCCATACCTATTAAACCCTATTGTTTTTCAAGTCACTATTCTCTCTCCCTCTCACATTTCTTCTCACTGTAGTTCTTTTCAATTTCTTTTCCCTCCTTTGTGTGCTACATAGAGTGTAACAACTCGAATTGCTGTACTTCATTCCAACTTTCTATGTTGAAACCAGTCAGTGTACTCTATCTTATTTGTTTAATCATGTGCGAAATCCTTTTAAATAATAAATCTATCTGCTTTTCTTATCGGTTCATCATACTTATTGAATCGATATACTTCTCTCCAACCCTCAAGACTTAACAGTCCACCAAATATCCCTTCTTTTGTCGCAGTGTGTGTGTGTATTGAGGCTGTTAAAATATCTCAAAATGGTTAAAGTGGTTAGCCAGAGAAGAAACTTATGAGTTGGTCGTGATCCATATGACTTCTTTTCAAACATGTTGGTTTTAGTTGCTGAGACCATGTTGTAGATAAGAGATCTGAATAGTTTAGTTTAAAAAATTAACCTCCCCACCCCCCTCCACACACACACACCAAAAGTCTAAATGTTATCACTCTCTAATAAACCTTTAATGCTAATTTTCTGGGGTTTTATAGATGTTGTCAGTTCCTTATTTCTTCTTCTTTTCCTTTTTTGATATTTTTGTTTGTCTTGTCTGGACGACTGAAAAACAAAAGCGCGTCATTAAGCATTGTACTGAGTTCTTCTCGTTGTCACTAAAACATCTCTCATTTTAAATTTTATCTGAAATTGTGCCAAATTTAAAAATGTCTTTTTCTAACACACTCGTATAGTAATTTTCAGCCGGAGAAAAAATACCAACAGTATTTAATCGAAATTACAAACATTTACTTGAATTTTCTGTCACCTACACGCAAATTGATAACGTCAGAAATTTAAAGTATCCAAAATCTTGGAAGTGAAAGAGAAGTAAATTTGTTGAATAGAAGTTAGAATTCATGGGCTCGGCAATGTATTATATTCCAGTGGCCATATGGTCAACGAGCTCGGCTTGTAACCTAAACGTCCTGCGGTTTCAATCCCGACCGGTGGGACCATGTGTGTGTACTGATGAAAGGTCACACACTAGGACGAAATAGCTGTCCAGTATTCCCTGCTGGTTTTCAATGGTCCCCTCACTAACTGATATCAATCCTTGATCAACCACAAAGTAGAAAGTCTTTCATAATGATTATTTGCTTGAACTTGGTTGATAAATTTCATTTCCATTCTGTTGAACTGCATATTTCAGTAGAGTTGAATTTTCAGCACACAATTCAGCTGGGCATCTGTAACATATGTCCTAGCCATCGCCTTCCTCGACGGGCAGTGTTAGCTGACATAGGATTAGGTTCAAAAGGAGCTATTGGTGGCCAAACCAAAACTTGAAGTCAACCCATGAAATCTACAACAGTTGGTTTGAACCGCGTAGGCTTTATTGTTTCTCTATGTTACTACTCCTTCTCCCTCATATTTATGCTTATAATTGTTCTTTTGAATCTCTTTTGTCTTCCTCTGTGCAATACATCATGAAGTGTGGCAATTTGAACTGTTGTACTTCTGTGCTAAGTTCTCTATTGCAAACAATCAGTCAGTTAAATTGCGATAGACACTTAGCGATAATGAACCTTAACGTCCGATGTTATTCCTCTTCTTCTTCGTCTTTGTCAACTAATTAATTAGAACAAAATTACATGAATAAAAGTTATTTATTTATATTGAATATATTGATGTATATTTTTCGTCTTCTTAAGGGTTACATTAATAACTGGGAGGCTCAAAGTCAAATTTTGGATACAGCTTTTAAAAGCGTGTTTAAAACAAACTCAGTAAGTAACATCTTTTTTGTTTTTACAAAAAAAGAGCGTTTTAAACATAACTGACATCTAACTATTCAAGTATTGGACTGGAGGGATTTGACTGATTGGTTACAGTATTTCATCGTGAGCTGACGTCGGCTAGCAGTGGCGCTAAATCGTGAATTGGCAGAATTTGGAATTCTTGGGCCAGTCATTGGCTCGGGTCCCAGTGGCTTAATGGTCTACCAGCTAGCTCGCCTTGCAACCAGAAGGTCCCGCATTCGAACCCTATCGGTGGGTGCGTGCTATTAGAGAGTCCCAAACTAGGCTGACGAAACAGCTGTCCAGTACTCCCAGATTGCTTGCCAGTGGTTCTCTAACTGATATCAGCTCATGATCAAAATCCGGTAACATCTAACTAACCAGCTGATCTTTCATTCTTTCTTTTCTTGTTTTTTTTCTTCAAACAGAACTTCTCATTATCTGATCATAATCTAATCGTTACAGAACCATACTTCAATTTTTCATCAACTAAAGAAGCTATGAATGAGGTGTTCTTTGAAGACTATCAAGTTGCTGGTCTAATACGTACTAATCGTAGGTTGTTGTTGTTGTTGTTTTAACCTAACTGCTTTATCTTTATTATTATTATTATTATTATTATGCAGCTGCATTTTTAAGTGCCTACAAGTATCGAATTGAATCAGCTCAACGTTTATCAAGATACTGTATGGTGATTGACTCTGGTTATTCATTTACGCATATTGTACCAATGGCTGATGGACTTGTAATGAAAGAATTTGTCATGCGGTAGGTATATCTTGTTTTCTTCTGTAAGAAGGACTCTTTTCATCTATTCAAGGTTAACAGTCGGTGGAAAAATACTCACAAATCGTTTAATTGAAGCTGTATCCTATCGGTAAGCAGGGTGTTGCTAATTTTTTTAAACTTCTTATATTTTTTTTTCTAAAGACACTTAGATGTACGCAGTGAAATATACATTATGAATCAATGCAAAGAAGATGTATGCTATGTATCAGTTGATTTTTGGAAAGATATGAATATTTCTGGGTGAGTGAGTGAATGAGTGGAGAACAAAGATTTTTTGTTTTGTGTAATACTACTTACTGTATGGTTTTCTTACTGACATAATAATAAACGATTAAAGTTTGGTTGTAAGCCAAGCCCCTTCCCCGTGGTGGTGATACAGTTCACTGGAGTGCGTAGGCTCTATTATTTATTTATTGATTTATCAGAACAGAAACTTAGTACTACATTATGAGCACCAAGAAATGTGCGAGGGGTGAAACACTTCTCAGACGCTCAGGTAGCAGTAGATGGCTTTCTTGTGGAGCTCTACCTTCCCCCGCCCGTCTCTCGTCCCCGAGCCTTTGACTTGATGTCGGATCCACATGACAGTGGAGCAGTAGGGTCAGGGGCTGCGTTCCCACAGTTTCTGGTGACCAAAACAGGTTAATATGCCATTCGAACCGTCATTTTTTTAGATTCTGAAGTCTATGTACACCATCATAGGTTTGGAATAATCAGGGTTTTCCACCAGCTACCCCTGGGGGTAGACTCTTGCATTTCCACCAATCCGGTTGTCAGCGTCACACATTCTTATTCGACCTTTAACTTTTGTGAAGACAGTGAATAGGACTTATCTTGGAGAAGGAAGCCATGAACATGCGTGGTTACATGGGAGAGCATTTCGTAAGGAAAACCAAAGTGCCTACCCAACCTCGGCGGTACTTGGTCATTTATGGGGGCTGGCGTACAAGCAGTTTATTCGAATGGGAGTGGGATAATTCACCAGTTGTAATAAATGACGACAAGGCAAAGTTAAACTTTAAGCACTACACTAACTACCAATCAGCGAATGACCTCGAACGCACCAATCACGTGAAGGAGGCATTTTTGTGTATGGAATACATATTTATTTATGAAAAAGATGCATAAAAACTGTAGGAAAGTATTACAGAGGATACCTTCCTCTCACATGTGATAAAGATACCTCTCAGTTTTAAGTTGGAGTATCAACAGAGTATAATTGCCCTCTTTATCCGGGCTTGGGACCGGCTAGAATACTAGTGACCTAGTAATCTAGGCGAGGTTCATAATTGCATTGTGAGTAAAATTTATTTTGATAAAGTCTCATAGTGTGTATTACAGTAATATTTATTGGGCAATAAATTGTGCTCGAAACGTGGTCATCAGTAAATGCTGCTGTATAACACTGTGAGACTTTGTCAAAATGAATTTTACCCATAATGGAATTATACTCTACTGCCACAATGCAGAAGTGCTATTCTTATATCAACAGAGTAATTTAACCACATTCTATGCTTGTAATTATTTAGGTCTTCTAACCCTAACAATAACCCTAACGTGCAAAAATCTCTTGACTAACCGTAATCTAACTCGAACCCACCCTAACTCTAGTCCCTTGGCTTAAAGCGTACCCTAATCTTTCCCAAACCTAGGCTGCTACTTGCCAGATATCCCATTTAATAACATAACACTTCGATGAAGACTATTTTTGTTGATGATGACAGCATTATCTGCCAGGCTTCACTAACTTGCTCATTGCGCGTTTCAAGGTCATTGGTGCGGTCGCACTTGATTGGTAGTTAGTTAGTGGTGCTTAAAGTTTAACTTGGTCTAAATGACATTTGATCGTAGATTATTTAAACGTCTTTGCCACTGTATTCCCAACAGACTAGATATGATACAGCAGGCTATATTGAAAATGGGAGCTATTTTTATACTCCAATAACTGTTGAAGTATTCCTTCAATACATATATATATACTGTCGCGTAAAGCGAATTGTGTCAGATTAATCCCTTAAATGGTAATCAAGAAGGAAATTGGACTTGTATGGTATAGTATACAGTATTAACTGACTGCTGTTTCATGTTATCCTGTGTAGCTGACTCAATTGGACGTTGTAAGCGTGTTCTCTGAGAACGTTCAGCTGAACACTACCCCGTTTAGGTGATGAAAGGTGAACGGAGGATGACAAAGTTTTCCATCCGTACACACCTTCTAGAGTGGAGTCAGGTTATTCAGCTCCACATGGTATATCCCTTAAAGTTGCCTACTGTCAGTCTTCAGTCACTCTAGAGGTTTAAGTTCCCTGTACTTGTGTGTAACCGAAGCTATACATGGACAGAAACTTAAACTATGTATTCAAAAATGTTTTGTTTCAACTGCTTACTACTTTGGTTCTAGGAATGTTCTTTCTAATATATACATTTTTTTTATTTTATCACTTGGATTTGTTCCACTTCACCTCATCTACCTACTCCTTTTTATTGTTACTGTCATCACTGTACTTTTAATTTTTTTGTGGCAACACTTGACCTACTTTCAAAATCTTGATACCAGTTCACTGATTTAGTTATCTTTTTGTTTAAAAAAATTGTATTTCATTCACTTCAACTCTACCCACCTTAAATATCAGTGTTAACTATCTTTATTCTTATCATATATCTGTATTAACTGAGCAATTTTTGGTGCCACTTGATGCCTTCTTTTCCGTAATATAAATAAGACTGTACAGCTACTTAAAAATGAAGTCATCTCTAAATAACCATCGACATTAATCCGAATCCTGTAATCTCACTATTAATCTCTAGCTCTTTGTTTGATGGGTACTGGATGGATGGATGGATGTCGTGGAGCTGTAGTGAGAAGTTGGGTGAAGGGGATGCTCATCGAAGGCACCGATGAGGGTAGTGCTACATCACGAATTGACAAAATTAGAAGCCAGGTATATCGGCCGTACCCAGCTCTCGCTTTCCAAACGTATCACCGAACACTTACCAACATGGTTTTACAAAGGAGAAAATCGATGCCCCCCATGCAGCTCCATCTTAGAACATCTGATAGAATGCGGACACCAAGCTACACCGTAAACAAACTTCAAAGTAGTCTACAGAGTAAGAAGTAGTCTTCCTAAAGGTGTACGAATCAGACTTCTTCAAACTGCAGAAGCAATGGCGATTCACTCGCTAAGTCCGGAACTCTGCATACAGAAGAAGTTCGTTCAATCACTACACTTGCAATGGATGTAATCTATCTTATTACCCGATAAGTAAATTCTACCTAATCTTTTTTTTCTTCTGTCTCTTCATTAGTATTATTTTGTCCTTTCAATTGTAATATTTTACATTTTAAACTTTCTTGTTCTCTACTCCCACCCGATTTAATTTCCACACCTCACTACCACTGTTACTGACTTGACCAACGCTCAATTTCTAGTCAATTATATTACGTCATCTAACTTACTAACTCAATCTTACTTTAGCTGCTGTCTAATTAACCTTGTTTCTGTATTAGATTATTCTTGTATTATCTGATTAATTATCTAAACTTGACAAACCTCATGTACACACACACGAAAATAATTATATATAAATGCAACTGAACAGCAATGTGAATGAATTTGCCGTCGAAAAGAGTCTCTTCACTGAAAGTCTTCTCTTTTTCAAAATTAGAATTCACGGGTCAATGAATTCCAGCCCAAGTGGCTGCATGAATGGTCAGCGAATGTGCTTAGTCGTGCTCGTAACCTGAAGGGGAAGGTCTCGGGTTCGATGTCTGGTGGTAGGATCGTGAGTGTACACTTCTGAAGAGAGTCCTAAAGTAGGGACAAACAACTGTCCAGTGTTCCCTGGTTTTCAATGATTTTTCCAATTGATGTGTTAGTTTGTTACGCAATCTAACAACTGAAATATTTTTATTTGCTAAACAAAGCACTGGGTTTTTTTCTCATGCACCGTTCGGTATACTTCGTGAATTATATGAGCAGTTGAAAATTACTCATCTCCAATCTATAGGTCTCTTTCTGACTAGAATGAAATAATCCTAGAACATAGACACACTTTTAGGCGTCCAACAATTGCCATATTTCTTGACTTGAAAGCGGCCTTCGACTCCGTGGATCGAAAGGTACTATGGAAATGTTTGAATGTGAATGGAGTGCCAAGAAAGTATATTGCACTAATCAAGGCACTCTACTCAAAATCATGTAGCCGTGTAAGGGCTTATGGGGAATCGTCATCTGAATTGATAACAATCAGTGGTGTACGTCAAGGATGTCCACTTTCCCCATTTCTGTTTAACTTCATCATAGATATGCTAATGGAAGTATCCTTAACTGAACTTAACGACTTAGGAATCGACTTGTTACCAGGGAATAGTCTTATGGACTTAGAATATGCAGATGACATAGTACAGTTAGGGAAGGATGCTGACAAAATGCAGAGTCTTCTGAACACCTTGAGCAGCAATCTTCGTATGTTTGGCATGCGATTCGCCCCTGTAAAATGTAAGATGCTGCTACAGGACTGGACTACGTCAACTCCTAGCTTAGTGATAGGGAGTGAAGTGATAGAACATGTTGACCACTTCACCTATTTGGGAAGTTGTATCAGCACCAACGGATTGATTGGCGACGAAATCTCATCACGGATCCAAAAAGCTCGAGCTGCTTTCGCTAACTTACGCCATCTCTGTCGTAGACGTGACAACCGACAATCAACCAAGGGACGTGTGTACTGCTTAGCAGTTCGCTTCGTCCTTATCTATCGCTCTGAAACATGGCCAATACGAGTTGAAGACATGAAAAGGTTGACTGTTTTTGATCATAGATGTCTAGGATCTCATTCTCACGTTAGGTGGCATAATAAGGTAAGTAATGATGACGTTAGGCGTAGAGTGTTGGGCAAAGAGGGAAAATCAATCGAAGAGGCTATAAAGTTACATGGATTGAGATGGTTAGGTCACGTGCTGCGCATGCCTGACCATCGTCTCCCCCGACGGGCATTACTAGCTGATATAGGTGCAGATTAGAAAAGAGTAAGTGGTGGCCAAACAAAAACATGGCATCAATCAGTCCATGAAATCCTTGACAGTTAAACTGAGTCAGGTAGGGAGATGTAGACTTCCGGGTTGGGGCCCTCAGGACTCTAAGAATCAATGGCTGGAGACAATAGGTGACATAGCTCAAAATCGTTGTCAATGGCTTACGCAGATGTATTCAGTCTCTGTAATCTTTCATATTCCTTTCTACCATTACTCATTCTGTTTCACTCTTATACTTGTCAAAACTCGATTGATTCTCTTCACTCATTTTCCTGTCTACCTTTGTGTGGTATTTGGAACGTGGCAACTCGAAATGCTGCACTTCGGTGCCAAGTTCTATGTTGAATCCAGCCAGATTGAAATAATCTAAATACAGGATGATCTTTTTTAACTTGTTTTCCAGCTGAGGCCATCATCTCAGAAGGTCTCAATTAGTTGAAACCATCTGTTATTGCTTAACTTTAATCTTTGACTGATTTTCATAAAGAATTACGTACTATTACTATTATTATTGTCGTTATTGCTGTAAGATAAGACTTTACACTTATTGTTTTATCACATAAATAAGCTTATCTTCAAAAACAGTCAACAGAAAATATTTACAGGTTTGTTCGCAAGTTAACATTAGTTAGATAATCGTTGGAAAACCAGAGAATGCCGGAGTGTTTTTTTGCTCTGGTCTGGAACTCCTTATCGGTACGCACCCACTGGGGGTCGGACTCAGAACCTTCCATTTAGTTACAAGACGAGCTTGTAGATCATTCAGACACTGGGACCCGATCCAATGGCTGGCCCATGAATTCCAAATTCTGCCAATTCGCGATATTTAGCTTAACCGCCAACCAATTTCATGGATGAATAACTCTCCTCTTTCCAGACTTAGTGAACTCCACAAGTCACAACTTCTCGCTTGAACTCCAGGTAACTTCCTGTATGTAGAGCCAGTCACTAAGGAGCATCAGAAGTTGGTATTCGTGGGTCATTTTACCGGGTACTGATAGCTGAATAGCCTACGAGTTCGCCTTGTAACCTTAAGGTCGTTGGCTAGAGCCTAGGAGAATATGTAATGCTGAAACGAGGCAGTTTTCCGTTACTTCCTGGTTTTCCAATGGTTTTGTGATTAATGTCAGCTCGTAATCAAACCTCTTACTAATCAAGTCCCTGCAAACCAGCACTAGAAAATATTCACAAGATAGATTTTGTTGTGAACCGAATTCAGATAAAGAGAACCATTGACAGACCATATGACGGGCTCTCTGGAGTGTTCTAATGAGAAGTTATAATTGATGAAGTTCACCAAGTGAGATGTGAAGATAGATATTCATTGATAACATTGGATGGTGGTGGCATTAGATCGAGAATCTGGCAGGAGTTAGAAATTATCAGCCATGACTCCCTATCCAATATCTGAATGATATAACATATTCGCCTTATAAGCTGAAGGTGATGGATTCGACCGTTGGTTTCGTCTTGGGTGTGCACTTCTGAAGAGTATAGAACTAGGGCGAAACAGCTATTCAGTACTCCTTGGTTAACACTGGCTCTCTAATTGACATTGACTCATGACGAAATCTCCCCTCAAACCCAATTTTAACAAAAAGGTTGTATAGACTTATAAACACTGCATAAGGTAATCATACTTCACCGCGTAGAACGCATGATACTGCATCATTTGCCATATATGTTGTTGAAATGTTCAAGAGTGTGCGTGTGTGTGTGATTGCTGTTTTCAACTCGTACTAACTGTTATCCGTATATGTACTTTCTTTTCAACATAGGTCGAAACCAAAATCAAACAGCATATTAAGAGAATATGTATTGCCCAACTATGTAGATGTACACAGAGGATATGTTCGTGATCCGAATACTGAAGCCGCGAAAACTGGTGGAAGTGATAAGCAAGACCAACGGGCTTTAAGTCTAGCACAACAAGGATATATTTTACGTCTGAATAATGAACGTTTCACTGTCCCAGAATTACTTTTCCACCCTTCTGATGTTGGCTATAAAGAGATGGGTTTAACTGAAGCTATTCAGCATATAATGTGTGAACGACTGCCGGCTGCAGTTAGACCAGGAGCTTGGGCAAATTTCATGGTAATGGGAGGTAATGCCTGCTTTCCAGGATTTACAGAAAGACTGTAAGTGGCTACAATTTTTCTCACTAAATATTATTACAGTTTTTTGTGGTTTCACTGAGTAAATAAGTTAATGTCTTAATTTTATGGTGCTTTTATGCATTCTTAAATAAGTAACTATGTTTTCACTCAAAAAATTATTGAAGAATCAGGTACTGTAAACGCTGCTTCTGCAAACCAACTAAACTTTTTCTTAGATTCTCAATGAGTTACTTAAATATATATTTAAGTAGACAGTGACAGTTAATTAAAAATGTCACTGTGGGTGGCATAACAATTCTCAATCAAATAACTTCATGACGTTTTGAGCACAATTTATTGCTCATAATCATATCGATGTATTCATACAACCTGATAACTTGCTTTATATATCTCTACTCCCATCTGTTTTTTTCATTATTGCAATTTTCAATATGTCCGGGTCAGGTGTGTTGCATTACTTCGCCTGCTCACACGTTTAGTGTTGATTTCTTGAGTGCCACTCTGAGATGATTAATTTTTGTCAGCTAAGGGACCTGATAAATCCAATTAGGAAAAGTAATATAATTTACCAAATACACCATGTAATGAGGTCAATTATGTATAGGTCAAACTAGTAAATTTAGGTCAATTAGATTATCGAAACATAAGAATTTAGCCAAAACTAAAATAATTGACCCTGATAAATTAATTAGGGGAATCTAGAAAAAGATCTTGGCTATTGTAATGCGTTCATTTGATAATAGTCACTACACAATAAAGTGGGATAGGGTAAAAGTATTAAAAAGTACTATAGTTAGTTGGAGTGAGAGATAAGGCGAGAGAGAGAGAGGCTAATCATCGAGTCAACACCAAATACGACGTGTAACTGAAATGACGACGCAATGCCTACACTCCATTATGATGGCTACATTGCAATAAAAAAACCTCAGTAAGTAATGCTGTATACAGCAAGTTTTCAAGTCTTGTGAATACATTGATATAGTTATGAGCAATAAAAATTGTTCTCGAAACGTCATCCAATAATTTGATCCCGTATCACTGTGTATTATTGTATTAAATGAATTTATCTAGTGCAAAAATAAAATGTATAACCTATCTGACCTGTGATCGTGATAGGCTGTAGGATCCGTAGAGGTTTTGGATTAATCCGAACATCTGAGACCCTACGTAGGATTCTTAATAAAGCAGGGATTAGGGTGGCATTCAAACCTACAAAATCACTCAGGAACAAGCTCAGTAGGTTAAAGGACCCGGTGGACCCAATTAGACAAAATAATATAATTTACAGAACACCCTGCAATGACTGTGAGGTCAATTACATAGGTCAAACTAGTAGGTCGGGGGTAGTCAGAATGTCGGAACATTGTCAGAATTTAGCTAAGGGAAGAATGGTTGACCCTGAAAAGATAAGTAATTTAGAAAAAAGCTCAGCAATTGCACTGTAAGCAATAACACACAACCACACAATAGGGTGGGAGATGGTTAAAATTCTAAAGAGCAACATAGGTAGGTGGAGAGGGAAGTTGATTACTGAATCCTGGTTCATTGAGTCTACACCCAACACAAGCAACAGAAATGACTCGATGCAAATACCAGAGATATGGAAGATATTATTATCGCCAGTCAAATCAGAAGAGGATAATAAATAATCTTAAAATTCTATTTCAATTCACGTACATCACAACATTCTAACAAGTTACTTATTTTGACTACATAAACACTTGTCTTATTTCCCATCTGACTGTAATTGATCAATAACACTCATATTATTATTATTTCTGAATGTACATTATCCTATATTGAATTTTATTCCAATATCTAATCGATTCCACACATGTATATAAATGAAGGAAAAAAAGTTGTGTGATTGATTTGATATGATTATGAGTGGCAATAGTTTGTGCTCGAAACGTCGTTATCAGTTAATAATACTGTGTAACGCTGTGTGATTTATCAAAATAAAATCTTATCCATAATGGAGTTAGGCTCTACCACAGTGCCCAAGTTTTATACTTATATTAATCCGAACTGTTGGATTTTCGTTACGAACCAGTATTAATCGGAGAGATCATTGGACACCAGTTAGAAGCACTGGACAGTTGTTTCGGCCTAGCTTTTGGGACTGTTCAGCAGTGCGTGCACCTAAGATCCCTGAGGGATCGAACCTGGGACCTTCACGTTGGAAGACCAAACTCTTGGACCATTTAACCATTTGGGCTGTAATTCAATGACCCGTGACGTGTAACTTTCAAGTATTGGTCTTGTAGGGACTTTTTTGTTTGATTGGTTGGAGGATTTCATCATAAGCTGACACCAATGGTTCTCTAACTGATGTCAGCTCATGATGAAATCCTCCAACCAGTCAAACAAAAAAGTCCCTACAAAACAAATACTTGAAAATTGATCCTATGTTCACTAGCGACTGACCCTATTCAGGCAGTGACCTGGGGTTCTAGCGGGAAGTCGTGACCAGTAGGGTACAACAGGTTGAAGGTGAGGCCAGTTACTCATCGAAAAAGACATTGCGAAGTGGTCGCGCTATGTTGTGAATTGGCAGAAGTTAGAATTCACAGGCTGGTCATTGGATCGGGTCCCAGTGGCTTAATGGTCTACGAGCTAGCTCGCCTTGTAACCAGAAGGTCCTAGGTTCGAACCCCGATGGGTGTATACTATTGAAAAGTCGTGAACTTGGACGAAACAGCTTTCCGGTTTTCCAATGGTTCTGTAACTGATGTCAGCTCATGATGAAATACTCCAACCAAATGTAACTTTGTCAACTTGTGATATAGTGCTGCCCTCATGAATGCCTTCGATTTGCATCTACTCCATTCTGACATGGTGGATCACACCGGTCATGTATGACTTCCCACTACAACTTCAGAATATCTATTTAGTAGCCATCAATTAGCGAGCTGGCGATTGATATTCAGTCATTGGTAAGGGCAGTACTACACCACGAGTTGACAAAGTTAGAACTCATGGATCATTGAACTCTAGTCCATGGAGCTGAATGGTCAGTGAACTTGATCTCATAATCTGAAAGTCACGGTTTCGATCCCTTGTGGCGTAGCGCGTTTGCACTGTTAAAGAGTCCCAAAATGGGATGAAACAGTTGTCCAGTGCTCCCAACTGGTTTGTGACGTAAATTTAAGAATTGAAACTTTTCCCATATATCAAGGAACTAGTAGAGATGAAAAGTCATGTTCTCATAGTTCGAAACTTTCGCGAATATCTGACTGTCAATAAAATATCTCTGTTACACTTGATGCTTATGGATAACATTAGGTAGTCAACTATACTGTGATAATTTTCTTCGTGATTTGTCTGTATTTAATGGAACCACCATGAATAAAAACAATCCGGAGGTTTCAGGTAGAATTTCAATTTGAAAACTGAAGAGCCAGTTGGTAGATAAGATTATCAGGCTGCATTTGAAGTCGTGTTAATTTACTTTCAATAGGAGCTCTAAATAATTAGACCACAGCTCATCTCTAACCCCTGGGGGTGGGTTGACTGTTGATCTCATCTATATTTTAAAGTACAGCCTACAACCTGGAAGATATGCAAATGAAAAGCAACAAGTTGGCAGAAGAAGCATCAAAGATAGGATGAACTTCAGTTGAACATAGAGAAAACAGAAGTGATGAAGATTCCTGGGCATCACCACCAACAGCAACAGACAACAATCAGCATAAATGGAAGGAACCTGAAAGAAACAACCTCCTTCACCTTCCTACCTGAGAAGCATCGTTTCAACTACAGGCGGAACTGATGAGGATATCAAAGCAAGAATCGGAAAAGCAAGACAAGCTTTCACTACTCTCAAGTCTGTTTGGAGGTCAACAGCACTCAGCATCAGAAATAAGATCCAGATTTTCAACTCCAATGTGAATTCAGTGCTACTATACGGATGGATCAGAGACTTGGCGCCGCGTCATAAAGAGCACCTCAAACAAACTACAGACCTTCATTAACAGCTGTCTTCGCTCAATACTCAAGATCAGATGGCCGGCCAGAAAGAATCAGCAACAGGGATCTTTGGGAGCGAACTAACCCAGCAGGAACCGATTGTGAAACAAATAGGCAGGAAGAAATGGAGATGGATTGCCTAGTGATACTCTGAGGAAACCATCAAGTGACATCACTAGACAAGCCATTGCTCGAGTGGAACCCGGAAGGGAAGCGGCGAGTTGGTCGTCAGTGCAAGGGTGACTTGGAGGAGGTCATGTGAAGAGGAGATGAAAACGTGTGGGTAGACTTGGAGCCAGGTGAAGACTCTAGCAGAGGAGACGCACGGCTGAAGCCCTATGTTCCTCTAGGAATTAAAGGAAACAATAGTAATAATAATATAACAGACTACTTTACTGAAATCAACTTTTAGAGATCAAACAAAACCATGTTGACTACATAAGCGTAAATAAACTCATTATTGGCCATCGTCGAAACTTTTATCAGCTTATTATTTTGGTTTCTGCTCTCTGTTCTGTTTCTTGTTTACTTCAGTGTTTCTCTCATTACGCTGACTTTTTACATGTACACATGTGAAGCAGTTTCTAGTTTGATCACAGACCGATGTCAGCTAGAGAACCATTGAAAACCAGGGAGTACTACAGCTGAACAGCTGTTTTGCGCTAGCTAGTGACTCTTTAGCAGTAGACACCCATGGACTTACAGTTAGGGATTAAAACCAGGACTTTCAGGTTAGAAGGCCAAGCTCGTTGACCATCTAGTCAATTGGACTGGAGTTCATTGACCTGTGGATTCCAATTTTTGTTAACTCGCGATGTACAGCACAACCACCAGCAGCTAGTGTCACTGGGGGGGGAGTATTTGTCCTCACACCCAAGTAACTTGGTGGACCCTATTGGCCTCTACTTCTCACCAGAAAACCAGAGAGTACTGAACAGTTGTTTCATCCTAGTCTGGGACTCCCTATCAGTATGCATCCACCGGGGTTTGAACCCAGGAACCGATGTTTTCAACGTGGTGTAGTCTCCAACGACTTCGTCCTGCAGTCTCTT